CCCTTAATGCTGTCTCTGTCCGGGCTTCCCGCCGCTCTCCTATTGGTTACCTGCACTGCACCTGCCCTTGGCCTTGACTTTTGACCTGTACCTATTATAATTAGAGGCTTAAGATGAGGTCCCTGGACCCCCTACCTCCCCACCTCTTCCCTTACTGGCCCTTTAAGAAATGCCCCCCCCCCCCATAACAACAAAACGTGTTTGACTATCGTAAATGTTGTCCCTCTGGTTTTCTCTATTCCTGATGATGAAGACTGTTCCCAGGCAGGAGTTGAGAAACCGATCCAGTGTCTGGATCATGGGGTGGCGGTGGGGGTCTTCTAGAAGTTTAAGGTCAAGGACTCAGACTTCTCATCCCTGTTTGGAGTGCTTGGTTGTGTGGTTGAAGGCTGGCCATGTGCCGTTAGGCATTCCTTGTGATCCAGCTGTCTAGTGAGTGACTCCAGACAGGGGAGCAGCCCCACCTCCTTTAGAGTCACCCCATTCCCCCAGTTGCTCTGAGAAAAGCCACTGCCGACAGATTTACTTGGTGATTCTTCCCAACCCCCAGCTTGCTATGGCATCGTCCAGGTGCCAACGGGACCCTGGTTCTGCCGGAAATGTGAATCTCAGGAGCGAGCAGCCAGGGTGGTGAGTTTGAGATTCCCTCCCTGCTTCTGTACACCTGAGCATCTCCTCCCAGTTAAACTAGGGGACTCAGCCTCAGGCTGAGGCTAGGGCGGGACTGTCACACAGGACTTCCTGTTTCCTGCACATCTCTCACCAACCCATCTCTCCCTCAGCTTATCCTTTACTCTGCCCCACCCCCAGCACTGGGCCTTTTATTTTTGTTAGTTGTTTGAACTTTTTATTATGGAAAGTTTCCAACATGTATAGAAGTAGAGGGAATACTATAATGAATTTCACGTCCCCATCGCTCATCTCGGACAATCACCACTCATAGCCAACCCGGTTTCTTCCATATCCCCGCCCATCTCCCATAGACCGCTCATTTCATCCTGGGGCCCTGTGAATGTGTTCAGGAAGGGCCCAGCTCAGCAGATCCCCCCACCCCCTTTTGGAAAGCCCCCCAAAATCCCTGTGCCCCTTGCATTGGCAGAGGTGTGAGCTGTGCCCACACAAAGACGGGGCATTGAAGAGGACTGATAATGGAGGTGAGGGGGGCCCTGAGCCCCAGAGCTCATCGGTCAAGGTCAGCAAGGCCCCCTGAGCGGGGTCTGGGAAGGCAGGAGTGGACTATTTTGGGGTGGCCAGGGTGGGGCTGGAGACTGGGTTTGCCTTCCCTTGCTGGCAATGGAATCTGATGGGCAGGCTGTGGAGGGGGGACCGTGTGCAGCTTGGGGCGGTGAGGGGCCAGGGTCTCAGGCCGTCCCCCCACCGCCCCAGGCTGGGCCCACGTGGTGTGCGCCCTCTACATCCCGGAGGTGCAGTTCGCCAACGTGCTCACCATGGAACCCATCGTGCTGCAGTACGTGCCTCACGACCGCTTCAACAAGGTCAGTGGGCCCTGTCCGGCCCCATACCAGCCAGCCGTCCTGGGGTCCCTCAAGCTCTCTCTCCATCCAGTGGAATCTGATTCTGTCCAGCCAAAGGGGGACTCAGGAGGTGGGTAGGCGCCTTCCCCTGCCAGACACCTGCCTGTGCTCTGGAACTCCTGGGGACGAGTGGGCTCCGTGGCAGTAGTAACGCTGGGTCGTGGACCTGAGCAAGCGCGTCACTTATTCATTCACTGAACACGTTGTACAGAATGCCTACTATGTGCCAGACCTGGGCCAAGGTACCAGGCGCAGGGGGTCACTTATCAAAACAGATGTGTTCTCTGCCCCGTGGAACGCACGCTTCTGTGTGGGAAGACTAAATATCAATAAACAGGCAAATAAAATAAATGCAGTTTGTGGTCAGTGCTGTGAAGAACAGAAACAAGGTACAAAAATAAAGACTACCTCATAGGGCGTCTGACGTTAGATAAAGTGGTCAAGGAAAGAGACATGTGGGCTGAGGCCAGCCTTGAGGAGGGTGGGGCTCTGGATCCAGGCATAAGGAACAGCATGAGCAAAGGCCCAGAGGTGCAATAAGCTGACTGTAAGCAAGGCAGACATAGTCCCTGGCCTTACAGGCCTCACCCTCCAAGGACTGCTGTCCAATACAGTAGCTACCAGCTACATGCGGCTACGTAAATTAGTTAAAATGAAATACGATTTAAAGTCCCAATTCCTCAGTCGCACTAGCCACATTTCGGGCGTTCAGTAGCCTGCGTGCTTTATGGCTGCTGTATTGGACAGCGCGGTATGGAAAATTCCCATCATCGCAGAAACTTCAATTGGATAGCACTGGCCTAGGATCCCACGGAGAGGATAGAGCTGAGAAGGCCAAGGGATCCTTCGGGTAGAAGGGAGAAGGGGATGATTGTACCGTGTCCTGCAGACATGCTACATCTGTGAGGAGCAGGGCCGGGAGAGCAAGGCGGCCTCAGGAGCCTGCATGACCTGTAACCGCCACGGATGTCGGCAAGCTTTCCATGTCACCTGGTGAGACCCCTGCCTGTGCCACTCCCCCTCCAGGGTTCTCTGGAGTCCCTGGGCAGCTGGCCCAGCCCCCTCCGAGGCTTGCCACGGCCAGCTGTCTTTTTGGTGGCGATAGCAGTGACGGTGGGAAGAAGGTGGCCGGTCTGGTCTGCGGCCACACGCTTCTCAGGCTACCCTGTTTTGCTTAGTGCCCAAATGGCCGGCCTGCTGTGTGAGGAAGAAGTGCTAGAGGTGGACAACGTCAAGTACTGCGGCTACTGCAAATACCACTTCAGCAAAATGGTGAGTCTTGTCCGCCAGGTGGTGAGTGGATCAGTCAGTCCTGCTTTCGAGGGTATGGGTTCCAGGCCAGGCTGGAGCCAGGTGCTGGGAGGATGGAGATGGAGGGAGCCCAGGCCCTGCTGTGAGGAGCTGTGCCACTGGATAAGGAAGGGGTTGAGGTACAACCCGTGGGAGGTGAATGAGGGCTGAGCCAGGCGGTCCGTCCCAGAAGACAGCTCAGACCCTGCCTGTCACTGTCTGGGAGGCTTCAAGGAAGAGGCAGCACTTAAGCGCAAGTAGAAGCAATAAGAGCCAACATCTGTGGGGGTGACTGTGCTCTGGCCTCTGTGCAAAGCTCTTTACGTGTATCATTTTACGTGGTCCTCCCCGCAACCCTAAGAACTGGGTGTACAGTATTCTCCATGTTACAGATTAGTAAACTAAGACCCACCAAGGTCGTGTAACTTATCCCACAGCTGGTGTGCGGGATTCGGAGCACACAGTTTGATCTGAAAGCTCCTTGGGGACCTGCCAAAGCAGAGACAGAAAGAAATGAGCCCTAGGTGGTGCCACTGGCATGGGCCAAGTCCTGAGGTGATAAAGAGAACTTGGGAACAGAACAGGGTGCTTGGGGAGAGTGAGGCAGGAGATGACCACAACACTCAGGCAGGGCCAGAGCAGGGCTGGCTTCTGCCCTGGGCTTCCGGGGCCCAAGAAGAGGCTGGAGGAGGGCTTCTATTCCATGGTTGTGGAGAGGCCTGCATGCTCCAGAAACTCTGGCGGTGTCCTAGAGAGGGAGGCTGCAACCTGAAATGGGAATTCAGCTTGGTCCTTACAGCCCCCCCCTCGCCCCGCCCCAGGGCCACAGGCTTCTAAGCGGGAGGGTAACATGATCAGATTTGTTTTTTAGGAAGATTACCCTGGCAGCCACTGTGAGGCTGGATCCCAAGGGCTGAGGCTGGAGGCTGGGAGACAGCTGTGAGAAGGGGGGGCTGGAGGGATAAGGCTGGACTCTAGAACTGTTTCTAGGTAGACAGGCCTACATGTGGGGGTGGCTGAGAAGGAGGATTTGAGGGTGGGACAGAGGACCCAGGCTCTCAGTGCTTGGCCTGCTATGAACAGGGGGATGCGGTGGGCTTCTGTAGGGTTGGCCTATGTCCTATTCCGCCCTGGATAGTTCGAGTTTGTGCCTGTCACCCTGGTGTAATTAATAGTTCCCCCTTTTGTTTTCAGAAGTGTCCTGGTTTGGATCATAAATTATATGGTCACCTTGGTTTCAGGGTTTGATGACAACTTAGGACAAGCTCTGTGGGGCTAACAGGAGGGGCCACATGGGGATGTTCAGGTGTGGTGGCTGTCGCCCCCCGCACCCCAGCAGGGTGGTGGTGGCAGCCCCAAGGAGAGAAGGCTGGACTGGAATCCTCAGGTGCCCACCAGGATACGGTGGGGCAAGGTGTGAGGGGGACCGAGAAGGGGAGAATCTTGTGTTTGGCAAGGTAGGAGCAGTACCCACCACTGGGGAGCAACTGGGTTGGATGGGGCTTGAAATCAGTCCTTGGATTTGGCAATTGAGAGGTAGTGGGTGACCTTAGAGGGGACACCTGCAAGTCTGGGACAGGTGAAGCTGTCAGGCAGGAGGCAGTCCTCAGCTGTAAAGGGAAGGAGGGGGCAGACACTGGCTGGATGGAGAGGCAGAACGAGGATCATTTGGGTTTTTGCTGTTGGGCATGTTTACTTCCCCCTTCTTAAGGGCATCAGGTCCTTTGGGACAGAAGGACCCCCTGTGGGTTTGATGGAGGGGGAGGGCCAGGACCAAGAGAGGAAAGGGCTGATGGCTGGAGCGAAGTACCAGGGGGCATGGGGCGGAGTGCAGGGGAGCAGGGACTGCCCAGGACTGCCCATGCAGCCTCTACCCCAGCGAAAGAGGTGGAACTGGGCTGTGGCTCAGGCTGCCTGAGATGGGCCAAGAGGCACCATGGAAAGATGTGGGCAGAAAATAAGAGACTCAGGCCCTTGTCCTACCTCCAGTGGTTCCTTGCTAGGGCCAAGACGCCTCTCGCTCTTCTGGGCCTCAGTTGCTGAATCTGTGCATTGCATAAGCCAACTGGGGAAGCTCTAGGATTTAAGACTAGAGAATGCCTTCTGCTGAGCAAAGTATCATTGAAGACACAAGGTCCTTTTAGTGACAAGCAGGGTGGGAGGGACTGGCCACCCGGGATTGTTGGACTTCCAGGAATCTTGTCCTAACCTAGCGAAAGGACGGTTTGGCAATTCTTCTCTCTTCTTTCCCCAGAAGACATCCCGGCATACTAGCGGGGGAGGCGGAGGGGCCGGAGGAGGAAGTGGCACAGGGGCAGGTGGCAGTGGCTTTATCACTGGCCGGAGAAGCCGGTCAGCCTCTCCATCCACCCAGCAGGAAAAGCACCCTTCCCACCATGAAAGGGGCCAGAAGAAGGTAAACGTCTTCTCCCTTTCCTTCTCCCGCCCACACCCACAAACACATAACCCTTCCTTCCTTCCTTCTCTTCCTTCTCTTCCTTCTCTTCCTTCTCTTTCTTTCTTTCTTTTCTTTCTCTTTCTTTCTTTCTCTCTTTCTTTTCTTTTTTCTTTCTTTTTTTGCTTTCTTTCTCTTTCTTTCTTTCTTTTTCTTTCCTTCCTTTCCTTTCTTCTTTCTTTCTTTTCTTTTCTTTCATATTTTACTTATTTATTTGAGAGAGAGCACAAGCGGGGGGGGGGGGAGAAGGAGAAGCGGCTCATGACCTGAGCCAAAGGCAGACACTCAACCGACTTGAGCCCCCCAGGCGCCCCAACACATAACTCAGGAAACCACCATAAGGTGCCCCTGAGGCCTTGGGGCCTGCCCCCATCCTTCCCCTGAGGCCACTAAAGGCCAGCAGGGGACTGAGGCAGTGACACACGAGGGTCAGGGAGGGTAAGGTGAGGGCCTGGCTTCCCTGGAGCTCTCTGTGTGGTTGCTCCGCATCCTCCTCGTGACATGACAGTCTCCAAAGCCCTCAACACACGGCCCTGCACGTTTGCAGACACCTCCACAGTCTAGCCATGGGGCAGCCCACTTGTCTCTGTCCCCTCGTGCTGCACATCCCAGTGTGCCTTGTTCCCAACCCAGCTGCACGCACAGCTCCATGTCCCAGGTGGACACCCTCGCAGGTGCGGGCTCCTGTGTGTGGTACTCTGTGTCCCTGATGTGCTAATGGGACAGGCTATTTTTAGCAAGCAGTCAGGAGGAGGGGGAGGGGCCTTTGGCTCCCAGGGCAACCTGCCTGAGCCATTCTTGTCCAGCCTAAGTCTCCCAGTCTCTCCGTAGGGGGAGATGATGCCCACAAAGCCCATCCCTGAGAGGGGACTGTTCCCCCCATGCACATGGCATGTGTATCCTCAACCAGACTGTCCCCCCACAACCCAGATCTGGTCACTTCTCCCTCCCCAGAGTCGAAAGGACAAAGAACGCCTTAAACAGAAGCACAAGAAGCGGCCTGAGTCACCCCCCAGCATCCTCACTCCGCCTGTGGTCCCCACTGCTGACAAGGTACTGCTGCCCACACGCAGGGGAGAGGCCGAGGTAGGGGAGGGAGACAAGTTGCAAGGGGTGGGGGTGAGCCAGGGACTCTGGGCAGCCCCCAGCAGCTTCAGGTTACTGTGCCTCTGTTCCCCACCCCACCCCTCTCCACTCCCCCCTTCTACCCTATTCTCCTCAGCCCCACCAGTCACTGACCAACCAGGAGGGTCGGGGTGGGGTGGGGGGTGCTGCCCTGCCTGCTGGCTGCCAGATGTTTACATCTGCCTCTGTCCAGACAGAGAGCGTCAGCACTGGGCTCTTGTCTGCGGGTTCAGTACTCAGGCTGGTTCTTCACGTTCTGGGGCCTATTTCCCCAGAGATAGGCAGAGAGGACCCCTTCGCTCTTACCCCTCCCCCACATCAGGACACTGCCCAGAGCCTGTCTCCCAACCAAAATCCCATGGTGGCATGGGCAGGCCCACGGACAGCACCCCGAAACTCCCACTCATCCCACCCTTCCCAGGCTTGGTATGTCGGGCCTGTCTCCAGAAATGGGCAACATCTGGAGGAACAGCCAGCAGGCCCTCCCCGGGGCTACAGAGTCGCTAATCCAAGCCAGAGCACCCCTTCCTTCCCCCCACCCCCCACACCGAAGGAGCACAGGGGCCTGGAGAAACTGCTTCTTCCTGTCCCCGTTACTACCCCACTCACCTCCACCCACCTTAAGAGGTTGGCAGAGCTCTGGGCATCTTAGCAGGAGGCTTGGGTATCGGGTTTCCAGGGTGATGTTGTGGCAACTGTCCCAGTAACCGTCTCCCCGCCTGCTTCCCAGGGCTCACCTGGAAAAGCTTGTCATTCATGCCCTCTGACCTTTCCCTGGGGCCTGCAGGGCCAGAGATATGGGAATTCCCAGCGGCCAGGTATTCTCTGGACATGTAGGAGACCCACCCCAGCATTTCAGCTACCCCTCCCCCTTGCCCCTCTCCTCCCTTGCTCTCAGAACCACATCTGGCTCCCTTCAGAACTCCAGCTGTTGAAAAGAACAAAGAGGAAGACAGAGACCAGGACCCCGCCCAGGGAAGGGCAGCGCAGGGTGGCTATCATCCCCTGATCCATCCTTCCTCTAGCATTTGTTCCGTTACTGAATACCTGGTCTCCACCAGGAGGAAAAGCACCATCCCTGGCAGTAATACGAAGCCCTAACTCACTCACGCATCACGTGCCAGGGTCCCTTCTCGAACAGGAGGATGGAAGGGGTCTTTGGGGATTAGCTCATTTAATCCTCAAAATAATCCAATGAATTAGGTATTTTTATTAACCCAGTCTAATAAATGAAGAAGCCGAGGCATAGAGAGGTTAAGTAATTTACCTTAAAAGCACACAGCTAGTGAGTGGGGGAGTGGAGATTTGAACACAGACAGTCTGGCTTGAAGGCCCATACTTTTCCACGGGCCACTGTCTGTCTCTGCGGTATATTCATCGCGGCTACCGGCGTCTGCCATTGCTGACCCCATGCTATGGATCTGGCTCTGTGCTCCTCGTGCCAGTTCCAAAGAGACCTCGCTGGCCCTGTCAGGACCCTGAAGCTCAGCAAGGTTGAGAGGCCACACCACATACCACAGCAGGAGATGGCAGAGCCCACCAGGCCCACAGCCTGCCCTGCCTGACCCCAGAGCCCATGCTGCCCTCCGGGGCGTGCTGGAGGCCTCCGATGTGGGGACTGGATATTCCAGTGCAGTGTGGCAACTGTTGACAAGGCTGATGTGAGGACACAGTGCCCTAGAACTAAGAGGACAGAGTGACCCGGTCCACCCCAGGGATCTAGGTGGCCTCATGGATCGAGGCCTCATGGACTTCCAGGCATGAGAAGTTTCCCAGGCAGAGTAAGGAGAGGCCGTGCTGGCAGAGGCATGGCACTACAAGCTCAAGTTGTCTAGGAAGGGCCCAGGGTGGCCAGGGGAGGGGGTGTCCGCTAGGTGGAAGGGCGGTGACTGGCGGGCTCAAGGATGGGGCCTGGGCAGTGCTCCCTCTGCCCTGTGCACGTCACGGCCAGCACAAGTCCAGCCTTCTGGGACCCACTAAGCATTTCTTCAGTGGATGACTGAACCGATGGGCACATCTGGACAGGCTCAGGGACTGTTGTCACTCTCCTCTGCCTCAGGTGAAGGACAGACTCCCCTCTCCTCACACCCACCTCCCCGATCTGGGCTCCCCGCCCACAAGTCCTTCCCGAAGCCAACCTGGACTCTCCCCCTAGCGCCCGGGGCCCTGTGTCCTCCTGTTGCACTGCCAGGTCCGGGTGAGCCCGGGCAGCTGGCCTTGAGCCTTGCCCTCTCCTCCTTCCCTCAGGTCCCCTCCTCAGCTTCGTCCTCCTCCCACCATGAGGCCAGCACTCAGGAGACCTCTGAGAGCAGCAGGGACTCGAAGGGGAAAAAGCCTTCCAGCCATAGCCTGAGTCACAAGGGGAAGAAACTGAGCAGTGGGAAAGGTGTGAGCAGTTTCACCTCCGCCTCCTCCTCCTCCTCCTCCTCCTCTTCCTCCTCCTCTGGGGGGCCCTTCCAGCCTGCAGGTGAGTGTGGGCATCCTGGAGGAAGCTGGGGGCGGGACAGCCTTCGACCCAGAGCTTCTCTAGCCAGGGCCTCTGCGCACTGCTTTGCGTCTCATTTGCTTCTTAAATTGGTTAAAGATGGGGGCTCCCCACCAAGTGACTCCTCTCCGGACCCTCCCCTCAGCCCCTCCTTCTCAGCCCCCCCCCCCCACAGCCGGGACAGTATTCATTATCCCCTGCACTTGGGCCATGAGGTGCCATTTTTAAAGTACCAACACTAATGATATCTTCTGTAATCTCTCCAGCCCAGTGAGGTCAGCTGGGCAGGAGTTCTCTCTCCCCTTTATGGCACGTGGGAAAGCTGGGGTGGGGGTGGGGGTGGGGGATACTCATGCCAAGACATAGAGACAGAGGCAGAGCTGGGACAGGAACCCAGGCTTCCCCTGCCCCCCGACCGGAGCTCTCTCCAGCTAGTGCAGTTGGGTGGGGGGTGGGATCTGGGGCGCAGCTGTAATTCTGTTTTCCCTCTGTGCAGTCTCATCCCTGCAGAGCTCCCCTGACTTCTCGGCATTCCCCAAGCTGGAGCAGCCAGAGGAGGACAAGTACTCCAAGCCTGCAGCCCCTACCCCCTCCGCTCCCCCCTCTCCCTCAGCCCCCGAGCCCCCCAAAGCTGACCTCTTTGAGCAGAAGGTGGTCTTCTCTGGCTTCGGGCCCATCATGCGCTTCTCCACCACCACCTCCAGCTCGGGCCGGGCCCGGGCCCCGTCCCCTGGAGACTACAAGTCTCCTCACGTCTCGGGGTCCGGGGCCTCAGCAGGCACCCACAAGCGAATGCCCACACTGAGTGCCGCCCCTGCGCCTACGGAGGAGACCCCTGAGACAGGCCTGAAGGAGAAGAAGCACAAAGCTAGCAAGAGGAGCCGACATGGACCAGGTCGTCCCAAGGGCAGCCGCAACAAGGAGGGGGCTGGGGGCGCAGCTGCTCCCTCCCTGCCCAGTGCCCAGCTGGCCGGCTTTACCGCCACTGCTGCCTCGCCCTTCTCCGGAGGTTCCCTGGTCAGCTCTGGCCTGGGCGGTCTGGCCTCCCGCACCTTTGGGCCTTCAGGGAGCCTTCCCAGCCTGAGCCTGGAGTCCCCCCTGCTAGGGGCAGGTTAGTGACCCTTGGGCATCTCAGGGCCCAGCCAGTCTAGTGAGGGAACAGAGGCAAAGGCATACAGTCAGAGGGAAATGGGATAGACGCTCCGAAGGACAGAGATAAAGGATGGAAGAGCCAGTCAACTCTAAGACGCCCCCCCGTTCCTGTCTTCTGCCGGGTCGTGGTGGGAGAGATTGGAGTAGACTGCCAGTAGGACTTACCTATTAGAAAAGCCTGGAATCCCCCTGGCCTGGGCAGGGCAGTCTAATAAGCAGGCATGTCAAGCAGATGTCCCATAGGCAAGAAGTGACATCTTTGCAGCAAGAGGGTTAGACTGATGTGATACTCCCCAGATCCAGGGGAGTATTATCCCTGGGGAGGGGCTGCCCCAGCCACCTGACTGAGGAGGGGCCTGGGACCTGGGGGGGAGTGGTGACCCGAAGCTTTCCTCTGTGTCCTTCTTGTGCCTGTAGGCATCTACACCAGTAATAAGGACCCCATCTCCCATGGTGGCAGTGGCGGAATGCTGCGCGCTGTCTGCAGCACCCCCCTCTCCTCCAGCCTGCTGGGGCCCCCAGGGACCTCGGCCCTGCCCCGCCTCAGCCGCTCCCCATTCACCAGCACCCTCCCCTCCTCCTCTGCTTCTATCTCCACCACTCAGGTGAGGCCTTACCCCTGGGCTCCTCCATCCCTGGGCAGGTGGGGGACAGACAGGATGCCTGGGACACCAGCTCTCCATGGGAGAGATTGAGAGATTGGGCTTGGTCGCCGTCAGAATGTCTCCCTCTCTGGTCTTCTCCCCAGCACACCTGATCCCCTCCCCCTCTACACACACAGTTGTGCCCTAGATCCAAGAATAACCACCAGGCTGGACTCTACCTCCTTTCCCTCAGGTGTTTTCTCTGGCTGGCTCTACCTTTAGCCTCCCTTCTACCCACATCTTTGGAACCCCCATGGGTGCCGTTAACCCCCTCCTCACCCAAGCCGAGAGCAGCCACACAGGTATGTGTCTCTGACCCCATTCCCTGTTCTTCCCAAAGACCTGAGGGGCACCCATCACCTGCATGTCACCCCAGACAGATGGGAGGACTTTCCGGCTGCCCCCTCCCTCTGGCCATTACCCGCCCTGAAAAAAAAAAAAAAAATTCACACACAACAAACCAGGGTACACTTAAGCACGTTAAAAAAACAAAACAAAACCGTGGAGGGACGGGACAGGACAGGACCGGCAGAATTACTACTGCTCACAGAAGAAAAAGGCTTAATGGTTTGCTCAAAGCAGTTGAAGTAGAGAAAGGCGGAGCCAGAGCTCACATTCTGGCCCTGACTCCAAGCCCAGTTCCCTGCTGGCCTCTTAGTCCTCGGGATGGGACCTTTCGAGTCCACCAGCTGGGCAACTTGCGCTCCGGGTATTTCGGAGTTAAGGGGGAGGATCACAAGCGCCCCTCCCCCTCCCTGGAGAGTCAACCCAGCCCCAGAGAGCTGATTGGTGCAGACACACCACCTGGCCGGGTAGGGGGCGGGGCTCACCTCCCGGCCGCCCGTTCAGGTAAACCTTCTTAAAGGGGCCGAATCCGATTCCAGAATTAATGATCTGACAGCGCAGGGTGACCACCTTTTCCAAAACCCAAATTGGAATTCTGTGGCCCAGCAAAAGGTTTTGCAGTCTAACTTACGAGTTTATGAATATGAGAAGTCGCACAAGACTAATTACAATAGCTGCAGTTTTTAAGGGCTTGCTGCAGGACAGCTGACACTTCACGTTTATTACCTTGTTTTTAATCCTCCTAACAGTCATTTTAGTGAGATTAGTTTCAAGCCCAAGGTCACATAGCAAGTATCAGGTCCAAGTTCAACCGAGGACTGTCTAGACCCTGAATTTCTATAACCCTGAGTCTACCAGGAAAGAAATTGAGAGGTGGTTCTGAAAGAAGCCAGGCAGTGTCCGCTTTTCTGCCTAAAGAAGGGGAAAGAGGACCAGATCCCATGGCTGTGCCTCCCAAGGGGCCAGGTTTCCAAGCCCGGGCTCCCAGCGCCTTACGAGCTAGAACTGCCAGTCTGGGGTTGGGGGAGATCCTGGGGGAAAGGGGTCTGCGGTAAAGTCCCAGATCCCGCACCCACTTCCCAGGCGGGGACCGTGAGGCCGACGGCACCTCTTCCCCGCTGATCCCTGCTCCCCTTCTCCTTCCAAGAGCCAGACCTGGAGGACTGCAGCTTCCGGTGTCGGGGGACCTCCCCCCAGGAGAGTCTGTCTTCCATGTGAGGGAGGGGGCGGCGGCTTGGGGGAGGGGCTGGGAGCGGGGCTGGAGGGACACTAGAGGGAGGAGGGGACGGAGAGACGGGCGCCAGGAGAGGGTGGGGTCCAAGAGGGGACGACTGGAACCCCTGAGGGGGGGAGGAGGGAGACAGGAGTGGGGACGTGAGGTAAGCCTGAGTCCGGTTTTCTCTTCCGACCCCAGGTCCCCCATCAGCAGCCTCCCCGCACTCTTTGACCAGACAGCGTCTGCACCCTGCGGGGGTGGCCAGTTAGACCCAGCGGCCCCCGGAACGACTAACATGGAGCAGCTGTTGGAGAAGCAGGGCGACGGCGAGGCCGGTGTCAACAGTGAGGAGGGTTGGGGCCGGGCTGGGAGACCTGTCCTAGGACCCCCAGACTCGGTCACCTTTCTCTCCGAGGTCCCCAAACTTCTTTAAAGTTGCGCCCCTCGGCCCCGCCCCAGCCTTAACTCTTGGCTACCCCGAGCCTTACCTCTAACCTTTGCTAGGCCCGGCTGCTGGACCCGCCACCTGTGCACCAAGCCTTCGGCCTCCGCGGCCTCCTGGCCCTTACGTTACTAGGCTCCAACTTCCAACTTCCACCCGCCTCTAAAGCTCCCAGTCAGGGCCTCGACCCCCAGCCTCAGGCCCCGCCCCTAGTCCTCACACCTCTGGCTACCCCCGGGTCCCGCCTCTCCGAGCTCACCTGAGTCTCTTGCTATTGCCAGCGGGCGCCTTCTCCTTTGGGTCTGAGTCTGAATTCCTCCGCCAGGCCCCGCCCTCCAAGCCCCGCCTCCGGTTCTCTCGCCCCGCCCCCCGCCCTCGCCCCGCCTCTCCAGGCCTGCAGGGCTCAGGCGCTCTCACCCTCTCTCTGCAGTCGTGGAGATGCTGAAGGCACTGCACGCGCTGCAGAAGGAAAACCAGCGGCTTCAGGAACAGATCCTGAGCCTGACGGCCAAGAAGGAGCGGCTGCAGATTCTCAATGTGCAGCTTTCTGTGCCCTTCCCCGCCCTGCCTGCCTCCCTGCCTGCTGCCAACGGCCCAGTCCCTGGGTCCTATGGCCTGCCTCCCCAAGGTAAGGGGATTCCCACCGACTCCGGGAGTGGGAGCCTCTGCCGGGCAGTGGGACGATCCGGCCCCGACTCCAGCCCTTGACCTCCTTCCCTGATCCCCTCCTTCAGCTGGCAGCAGCGATTCCTTAAGCACCAGCAAGAGTCCCCCGGGGAAGAACAGTCTTGGCCTGGACAACTCTCTGTCCACGTCTTCCGAGGTGGGCGCTGCAGGGGGGAGGCGGGGGGGGGGGGGGCAGGAGGGGAAGCACCAGGGCGTTCGGGTCTCGTCTTCACCCTGCAGCTATTGGAGCCTGGGCAGTGAAGTGATTGGCTGAGCAATTGGTTGACTGATCCATTCCTTCCTTCATTAAATAATAATTATAGGTGCTTACTTAATGCCAGGCACTGATCAAGCAATCAATGAGCAAAACGGTCACAGCCCTGCTCCTGAAGATAGACTAGCGATCCAAGAAAATAATCATTACAAACCAGGAAAAGTGCGAAAATGGAAATATCTTAAGGGCTGTGAGGCAGAATCGGGGTGGGATTCTTCTGGAGTTAGGAGGTGGTTAGGGAAGGCCTCTTTGAGAAGTATTTGGGAAAGGTTTATTACAGCAACTGGCACCCAGTAATCCCCCTGTGATCGGCGGTGTTGGGGGGAGCAGTCTATCCTCAGGTTGTGGTTACTGTTGAAATCAAACAAACGGGGTGGTGTATACCTGAGCAACAATAATCATAGCGCTAACGAGTACTGATTGCACACTTGCTCTCTGAAATCATGTCCTGTGCTGAGACTTTCAAAGCATTGGTTTGTTTAGTCTTCCAATAACCTTATGGAACAGTACCACTATTCCCCCCATGTTATGAGTGAGGAAACTAAGACAGAGAAGCCAGGGAACTGTGGACACAGAATTTGAACCTGAGTCTTTCCCCTCCAGCTGCTGTTCTCTTGCCTGCAGAGTTACTTAGCCTGCTTAAGAATCAATGGCTTCACCCATATATGGGAATAAGGAGATAGTTCGGGGCAAGCAGAACCCTGGGTCTAGTTCACTAGATGGCCACCACCAACGTCCCTGTTCATGATTAACAAGGAGTGCGAGGGGTGCTGGGCCCCCAGGAAGTGATCTGTAAACGCGATTTGTGAAGACTATTTGGATTCTTAGCTTTTATCCCTGGGTCTTGCTTCTTCGTCCTGGGTGGCTCTGCCTGGGTGCGGTGGGGGTGGCTGTGCTCTGTGAGAATGCTGGTGGGTGCTGGGCCGGGGGCCAGAAAGGTCACGCTGGCCCCCCGCCCCCCCCCCCCCCCCCCTCCCCCCCCCCCCCCCCCCCCCCGGACCCACACTCAGGCTGCCCCAGCCGCAGCAGCTCGTCGCTGTCCTTCCACAGCACGCCCCCACCGCTGCCCCTGCTCCAGCAGAGCCCCGCTACTCTGCCCCTGGCCCTGCCCGGGGCCCCTGCCCCGCTCCCGCCCCAGCCACAGAACGGGCTGGGCCGGGCACAGGGTGCAGCAGGGCTGGGGGCCATGCCCATGGCTGAGGGGCTGTTGGGAGGGCTGGCGGGCAGCGGGGCCCTGCCCCTCAATGGGCTCCTGGGGGGGTTGAATGGGGCTGCCGCCCCCAACCCTGCGGGCTTGAGCCAGGCTGGCGGGGCCCCCACGCTGCAGCTGCCAGGTTGTCTTAACAGGTGAGGGAGAGCTCAGGCTGGGGAAGGGAACGGGGAGGCTGGCTCTGGGAGGGACTCCCCCCAACACCCACAGTCCCCCCAAAAGGAAGAATGTTCTCCAGTCTTACAGAGCATAGAATCTAGTCACCTCTTGGCCCCAGGTACTCCCGAGATGTTACATGTGGGTGCCCTCTGGATGTGCTCTCCAGGGACGAAAGCATCGGTTTCTGTCTTGCACCCCCAGGCTTCCTTTCCCTTCCGGGAAAGTTCTTCCATCGAACTTGGCTCCCTCCCAGTGGTCTCTGAGCTTGCTCTGTTTCTCTGTAGTCCTCCTCTAAAACCGCACATCCCTGCCTTTCTCCACCTGGGCCTGAGGGAGTCTGGGAGCTTGGAGGGGCCGGGGTGGGGGAGGAGTGTCTCCCTGCCCCTTCCCACGGCCTGTGTTTGTCTCCTGCCTCAGCCTATCGGAGCAGCAGAGGCATGTCCTGCAGCAGCAAGAACAGCAACTGCAGCAGCTCCAGCAGCTCCTGGCCTCCCCGCAGCTGAGCCCGGTAATGCCCTCCCTTCGCAGGCAGCTGCGGCCTGCAGCTCCTTGGGGAGGGCCCGTGTCGGGGGCTGTGCAGGCACGGAACGGAGCGAGGGCCGCCCCAGGCTGGACCCCTGCGGGGTAGAGGGGATAAGGTTGCTCTCAGGCCCTGGGCATTGCGGAAGGGGTGCTCACACCCTAGAGGGTGGTGAGCCCCCAGTTACTGAGCATTTCCAATCTCAGCCCCAAGGATCTTCAAGGGGAGCTGCAGGGTCTGTGGCTGAGCAGGTGGGCGCCCTCTCAACCAGAGCAGCCCCTTTTGGGTTCTGCGAAGGTTTCCTTTGGAGAAAAGGGAGTTCTGCCTTTTAAAAAGGAGGGAATTGAAAAAACAGAAAACATAATCATTTTCCTAGAAAGAAACACAAGAAATCCAATTCAACTGGTTACCTATAGTGGCCAGATGGGAACAGGGGTAGGAGCAGGATTTCTTAAGGTAAACGTTGATATTGTTTGGTGTTTGGAACACTGACAACGCCTTGCCTGTTCAGAGCAAAAATAGATGAATCTTAAAAGAAACAAAACAAAACAAAAAGAGGGGGAGTTGAATACTATTGAGCTAGCCTAGTTGTTTCTCAACTTGGGGTCATACCACCCCTGGGGGCATTTGTGGTTGTCATAGTGACTGAGGAACTGATGCAGCGAGGAGGTGGGGCCAGGGCTGCCAGACATCCTCCAGCTCTCAGCCAGGGATGCCCCGGGGAGGGGTGCCCCGGGTCGACAGTCAGGGCCCCAACCGCTTTCTTATCCAGATGGGGAGACTGAGGCCCCGAGTGGGGAGTTCGAGACAGGACCTTGACCGTCCCCCAGGTCTCCTTCCTCATGGCTCCAGTGAGGTGGGACGGGGCCCCGGGCCAAGCAGGGCAAGCTGGCTCCGGGGACCACTGGCCCCTGAGCCGTCTGGCCCCCTTGCAGGAACACCAGACTGTCGTCTACCAGATGATCCAGCAGATCCAGCAGAAGCGGGAGCTGCAGCGGCTGCAGATGGCCGGGGGCTCCCAGCTGCCCATGGCCAGCCTGCTGGCAGGAAGCTCCACCCCGCTGCTGTCCGCGGGCACCCCCGGCCTGCTGCCCGCCGCGTCCGCCCCCGCCCTGCTGCCCGCCGGGGCCCTGGTGGC